AGAAATGGAAAATATCTGCAAAAAAAAAAAATGTAGTTAAAGAATGTAGCAATTAAAACTTTTCATACAATTGCTGCTAATTCTAAAAATAATCTAACATATAGCAACAATAACCCTGTCAAGTGGGAATATTTGCCAGGCTCAGCTGTTCCCAAGCCTTATGCACATTGTCATCAGATTCGAAGGTGTTGGCAGACAATGAATAAACAAGTGTTTATGAATTCCACTTAGGGAATATGTGAATATATCTTCACTGGATTACTTTATTTCACATGAAATTTTAAACTAGCTCCTGTTTCTAAGAAAAAAAAAAAAGGCAAACTTTGACCATTATAAAACTCTGGATTGATGAAATCTGAAGTAATAAGCTTTAACATTACTTTTTAAGTGATAATTCATGTTCTAAAAAAGGAATATCAGACTATCACTTTTCAGCTGGCCATGTACCTAGATATGTGTACACACAGAGTCACACACACAGACAGCCAACTGATGGCACATAACAAAGAGAGGCTGCCTTAAAAGACCTGAAGTTATTGATGCAAATGTGGATATGTCTTCTGAGCTCATTATTCAGTAACTAAAATTACCTAAAAAATTATTGCCCAGAGTCATTCCAGAAATGTTGAGCTTTACTTAGAAACCGGCTAATGTGGAACAGATTCAAAACCAGGAATTGAGAGCACTCATCTATTAAATTTATTTTATTTTCAAGTCCCGTGGTAAATGTTGTTTTTTACATTTACATTTTAGGATAAAAATGTCAGCATCATTTATCATTCTGGATTAAAAGATCTAAGTGCATCTGGACCTGTGCAAGGCTGGCTGCGCCTCTCTCGGTAAGACTAGCAGTAATAAGGAGTTCTCTCTACAGAACTTCTAGCCCCAGGATACCTCAGAATCCATGAACATCTTCAACTGTCAGAGAGGAAAAAGTGTCAGTTGCTCAGTCATGTCTGACTCTTTGCAACCCCATGGACTGTAGCCTGCCAGGCTCCTCTGTCCGTGGAATCCTCCAGGCCAGAATCCTAGAGTGGGTTGCCATTTCCTTCTCCAGGGGATCTTGTAGACCTGGGATTGAAACCTGGTCTCCTACATTGCAGGCAGATTCTTTACTGCCTGAGCAACCAGGGAGTCCCTTCAATTGTCAGATAAAAATTTCAATTTCAGAAAGTCTAGTTCGATCCCTAGGTTGGGACGATCCCCTGGAAGAGGAAATGGCAACCCACTCCAGTATTCTTGCCTGGAGAATCCTATGGACAGAGGAGCCTGGTGGGCTACAGTCCATGGGGTTGCAAAGAGTGGAACATGACTGAAGTGACTCAACATACACGCCAAGTCAGACTAGAACTACCAATCTTCTAATTATCAATGAAGTGCTGATTCATCTATTTTTCCGTCTTTCTGTGTTACTCAGTGGAAACAGGGAAACTTCATTTCATTGGTAGATAAAATCTTTCAAACAATGACATTTACAGGTGAAAATTAAAAGTGGTAACTGGTAATGGGAAAGACTGGGAACTTCTGCTCAAAGATTTTAAAAATAACAAAGAGGAATAAGACCATAAAGTTATAAAAATTAGACCCTGAAGGGAAGAGGACACCAGGTGCAGAGCCCTAGACACCACAGAAACTCAGCGCCTTACCCAAGAGGCTTCTTTGTGTCCAAAGCCTCTTACTTCAACATGAACTTGTGCAGACCGAATACTAACTGTTTGAAATGTTTCCCTGGAAAAGACACTCCTGGTTCAAAAGTCTTTAAAAAGAATTAGATTAGAATCTGGCCTAATCCTGGAGCTACTTTTATAACGTGCATTGTATGCATGCATGCTAAATCACTTCCTTCTTGGCCAACTCTTTGTGACCCTATGGACCACAGCCCGCCAGGCTCCTCTGTCCACCGGATTCTCTAGGCAAGAATACTGGAATGGGTTGCCATGCCCTCCTTCAGGGGATCTTCCCAAACAAGATCTCTTAATTTGATCTTCTCTGATCCAGACTCCTCTGAACAGCCTTTTACCTGGCCTCCTTACAATTATTTTTCCTTCTCTTTGGCCCATTCTTTACAGATCAAGGAAATGCAAAAACATAAATCCAATCACATCACTCCTCTGCTCTAATAGCTTCCATGCAATTTTTTTTTTTTTGGATAAAACTCTAACCCTTACATCTGCCACAAGGTCCTGAATAACGTGACGGACCTTCTATTCATTCACTTCACCTCAGCTGAGCTGGCTGTTTCTCCAGCTCCCTCAAAGTTCCTTCCCCCCAAGGCCTTTGCATCTGCCGTTCTCCCTACAGTGTTCGTCCTTGTTTGTCTGGAATCTCCAATTAATCCTTCGGTTCTGGGCTCAGGAGTGGTTTCTTCAAGAGAGCTTTAATCTTCATCTGTCTCCTACTGCCCGTACCCCTCTGGCCTCTTATTGTTTGAATGTTTCCCTCATCACGCTTATTGTAACTGCAATTAAACAACCACATGTCTAATGCCTTTTTCCAACTCTGTACTGCAAATCCTATGAAGGTGTGATTGCCTCTGTCTCATTCTGTCTCATTTACTGCTGGCTTCCCAGTGCCAGGAGTATGGCAGGAAACAAGGCACTAAAGGGAATATAATTTTGCAATGGGCTCCTGTAAGAAGTAACGAAAACTAGTCTATTTCATACAAAATCATGACTCTGTCAATAACATATCACACTATAACACTAACAAGTCTTTGTGACACTTTAACACGTGAGGAGGCCAGTAAAGCAAGGTGTTCACCACTCTTGCATTCCCAAATACTCTCAACCTTCAACCAGGTTAGCAAGCTGGGCACATGTGATGTTCCTTGAAAATATTCATGGAATTCAGTGTGGCAGCTAGGTTTCCTGGATGGACACAAACTGAGACTCTAAACCAAAGCCAACCAGCCTTCAAATGAACAAGTCATTACAAGAAATTATGTCTGAAAGGCCACCCAAGAAGAAGTAATATGAGATTCAACCAGTGCTCTCTTGAATTTAGCCAATTCACTTCAAATAAAACAAATGCTTGATGGATGGGCAAGAACGCACAAAAAACATTAAGAAAAAGTCCAGGAGTGAGCTGTGAAATGAGGATTTCCCAAGATGATTATGACTTTGGACAGTGCTACTATAAAGAAGTTCCAGATTATGGTGGATATTTCAAAAAATCTTTGGAACTGAAGATTCATCTAAAATAGTGACACAGCTATTTGAAGTTTAGCACAGATGTATACACGTCTACAAGACACTGTATCTGAGACGACTGGAAGTTCTTAAACTCTAGTGTAGGACATTCAGGTCCCTTTGGATCAAAAGCTCTGTAATTTAAATATCCAATGTAAGAAACTTTTTTTTTTTTTTTTTTTTTTTTTTTAAAGAGGAGATACGTATTTTCAGAAACTTTTAATTCAACGAATAACAGAAAAAGGGGAAAACAGGAAAATGCAGAATAAATAATTTAAACTGACCCTGCGACAAGAAACTTAAGGAGAATGAGCAGCTAATTATCTTCTATCCTCTCACCCAATCACCCAAGACTTTCACAAAGTAAAACTGAAAAGGATAGGAAACTTATCATTTCACTCTGTTTTCCACCTTACTCTCTTGATAGTGGGAGGGTGGGCAGTGGGAAAAAACGAGATACGTGTTTGTACAGTAGTGAAAGGGTGAAACTAAGATGCTTTCTGCCTACTCTGATATGGGCCTAAAACACTAAACATGCATTATTAGATTTAGTGCTCACAACTAACCCACTTGCAGATGAAGCTCACCGCGGTGACATGACCGGTCAGAGGTCCCCTGGCTGGTACCTGGCACAGACGAGCTCTGATTCCAGATACCCAGTGCCCCTTCTGCAACACCCCGCGGCCTTAGTCTCCTTGTTCTGTCAAATACATAACTGTTTATTTAGCAGAACATTTCCAGCTCATCTCTTTCCATTATTCCATTCAAATGAGCTTTCATTTTCACTCTGAGGGATTCTATCACACCTTTTCCCATAGCTTAGAGATTAAGGGAAAGCAGACCTTCCTTTACACACGGCCGCTCCCCTCTCTTATACTCTTAACGCGACTTTTAATGAGGCACAGAGTGTGTATCTCAAACCCACCGCAGCCCAGAAGGAACAGTTGGCACCGTCCTGAATCATTCCCAGGCCCATTCATTCCCAGACATTCTCAAACCGAGGAGGTTCTTAACAATTTTCTCATTTACACAATATAAAGTAGAGGCTAATTTTTAATTTTAAATGGCCAACCTAGTTAAGTCATTGTTGAATATCAAAATAATTATCAATTTTCTACTTTAAATGATTTCTTTCATATGCCCTTGTATTAATAAAATTTAAAAAAAATTTTTTCTCACCACAAGAACCCAATGGCAGAGGGGAATGAACGAATGCTACAGTGACCAAAACTTGGGAGAGATTTCATTCAAGTCCTGCATTTTAGCTTATAGAGATTTGAGTCAATTTTCCATTCTATTCCACTTAACAGCCTTGTTTTTAATTCCCCCTTCATATTGTAAATATCAACAATTTAGAAAATATCTCATGCTTATTTTGCAGTGTCTCCGAGAGCACTTTCCCCATTACTCCTGCTGGTATTCAACACACTTCTTAGGAAAGAATGGTAATGTGGCTTTTAACCCAGTAAGATGAAGTGGTAACCTGTGGATAATAAAGCTTTAAATTGATCATTTCAGTAACTGACAGATTTTTAAAGTTATTGCTTGTGCTCCAATCTTATAAAAGTGGAAAAATCAGTATTTCTTCTGCTAAGGAAAGCTAAGTATACAAAAGGACTTTATAAAAAGTTAATATACTTAATTTTTAAAATTCTGGAGCTGATTTTATTTGTCAGATTTATGTATGTGTTATAAACTGTTCAATCTTCCTACACTATTCCAATCTCAGATAACAGGTACTCAAAGAAAATACCGCACTTCTGTTTTCAGAATCTGTAAAATATGAGAATCATCATATAAGGTGAAAATTACCTTGCTTTTCTATAATTGAGTATGAAGCCAAAAATCCTCGTCCAGAAACGTGAATTCCACTCATGAACTGCACTGTGATTTCATTGCTTTTTGATTCAACTGAATGGTTCATTTGCAACCCCAGACCACAGTATTTGCCTAGGATGGAAGAAAAGCAGATATTTGGTATGATTCATAAAGTCAACATTATTTACGATGTAGGTAACAGAATCATAAGAGTACACCAAGCTGAACAAACTAGGTATTACATTAATCTAAAATGATGACTAGAATATTACTCTGGAGAGAAAAAAAAAAAAAAAACAACCAAAAACAGCAAGTAATAAACTGTTCAAATGACTCAAAGGGAAAAACAGTGTATTCAAACATCACTGACCTTATAATGACTCAATTTCCTGTGAAACACAAGTGACAAGGAATTTAAAAATAAAGTATTTCATGTAGGCAAGTGGCTCATAAATGCACCAATAGTTAATCGGTGGTATTCTTAACATGTTTCCCATAGGGTGCCCCTAGATTCCTGAGCACAGGGACCCCTCGAAACTTTGACAGATCTTCTCAAGTTTTCTTCCAAGAATTGTTGGACTTCTGTCCACCCCTTCCGTCATGTTCAGTCCTACAGTTTTAACTATGACATGACCATTCACATTCACACCTCTATACAGCCCTTTCCTTGAGCTTCAGAAGCATTTATCTAACTGCCTAGCAACTTTTACTCTTTAAGGTCTAACAGACACGTAAAAAATAACAGATCTTCCCTCAGAACAGATCTAAGTTTATTAAGATAAAAGGGAAGAAAAGAAAATAATTGAAAGAAAAGATATTGCACCAACAACTAATAAAAATAAAAATGAGTTTTTCTTATGCGCACTGTAACTTTAACAAATTCTGAATAAAAAGTTCTAAAAATATTTTAAGTTGAGCAATATCACTTTATGGGCCTCCCTTATAGCTCAGTTGGGAAAGAATCTGCCTGCAATGCAGAAGACCGGGGTTCAGTTCCTGGGTAAGGAAGATCCCCTGGAGAAGGACATGGCAACCCACTCCAGTATTCTTGCCTGGAGCCTGATGGGCTACAGTCCATGGGCTTGCAAGAGTCGGACACGACTTAGTGACTAAGGCACCACCAAATCACTTTAATAAGAGTAGTGTGTACTTCCATAGACATCATTTTCAAAGACTACACATTATCATGTGAGCAGAAAATGCTAAATAATTCACCTCTATCACCACCACCACCACCCAAACCAGAACTGGTAAGGGAGCTAAGGTCACAAGGTTGATATACAGAAGCCAATTGTGAAAAATAACCTAATCAAAATGGACAGAAGACCTAAACAGGCATTTCTCTAAAGAAGACATTCCGATGGCCAACAGGCACATGAAAAGATGCTCAACACTGCTAATTACTAGAGAAATGAGGTATCATCTCACACCTGTCAGAATGCTATCATCAAAATTCTACAAATAATAAATGCTGAAGAGGGCATGTAGAAAAGGGAACTCACCTATATTGCTGATGGGAAGGTAAATTGGTGTAGCTGCTATGGAAAACTGTAAAATAAAGCTACCATATGATCCAGCAATCCCACTCTTGGTAATATATCCATAAAAGACAAAAACTCTAACTTGAAAAGACATGTGTACCCACCCCGCGCTGTGTTCACAAAGCACTATTTACAACAATCAAGATACAGAAGCAATCTAACCATCCATCAACAAATGAAAGGATAAAAGAAAGATGTGGTATATATACATATATAGATACATATACATACACATATACATACATATATATATACACACACACAGACATACATAATGGAATTTTACTCAACCATAAAAAGCAAAACATTGCCATCTGCAGCAACATTGTTGGACCTTCAGAACTAAGTCAGACAAAGACAAATATATATCATTTATACAGGGAATCTAAAAAATAATACAAATTAATTCATTACAAAATGGACTCATAGACACAGTAAACAAACTATGGTTACCAAAGCGGGTAGACAGAGGTGGGGAGGGACAAATTACTATGTCTAAAAGGGACTCGGTAATATCACTAAGAATGGATTTGCCTTTCCTTCTAAAGAAGGAAAGATTAGGACTACTTAGTCATTGTTCATTTTGATATCAGGGAAAAGTAGCTATTTCAGCATTATTTTGTTCATGAATAAATGACAGATCCAGTATCTGCACATTTTAAGATTAATAAGGTTCATGTGAGAAAATGTACCTTGAGACCTTTACTCTTAATTCACACATTCACAAAGAACTATCTGGATGGATTGAGGATTTAAATGTGCAGAAGGGAAAAATTAAAGCATTTAGAGGCAAACCCTGAGAACATCTTCATAACCTGTAAGAGGGCAAAGATTTTAAAAGAGAATGCAAAAAGTATTAATACTAATCATGAAAAAAAATTAATGTGAATGTTAAAAGTAAATTAAAATTAATGGTTGCTTATCAAAAGATACCAATATAAAGGAATAAAAAGGAAAGCTATAGAAAGGGAGAATATTTGGAACATTTATATCTAAAAAGAACCCATAACCAGAATATTTAAAAGAACCCCTACAAATAAAATAATCATCCAATAGAAAAAAAATGCATTAAAAACTTCAAGATTCTTCACAGAAGATATTCAATGGCTAATAAACACATGAAGAGAGAACAATATCATTAGCCATCAGATAAGGCAAAGCTACAATGTGATATCAGTTCATACACACTAGAAGTCTGATAAAAGAAAAAAATAGACAGTAATAACTAGAACTCTCCCACATTGGTGGTGGGTGTGGAATGGCACTACCACAAAGGCTCTTGGCAATATCTACCAAAGCTGACCACATGGACACTCAGGGAACCAGCAATTCCTCTCCTAGATACAGAAATGTGCATTAATGTTCACCAAAAGATAGGTGAGAGAACATTCACAGCAAACAATTAATAACAGCCAACAAGGGTTATTCATATAGTGGATATATCTTAATTTCCTTATTGTCAGAAGTTGCTTCTGATTTTTCTACACAGTAAATAATATTGCAATAAACATTTTCCTAACATAACTTCTATGTTTTAAAATATTTAAGAGTGATTTTTTAGAGTGTTTTTAACATTTGCTTCCACAATGCTACTTAAGTGAGCTATGCCAGTTAATACAGCCTCAATATTAAAAAAATGACAAATTTCATCACACCACTATATTAAAAGCTATGTTTTTAACAAATGCAAGAGTAAGGGAGGTCATATACTTAGTTCTAACACTTTCACATTTCTCTGATTATAAGAAAAGTTGCCTCCTCCAATATCCTCTTTCATAATGGCAGCATGGACAGAAGAGCACCCAAGTTTTTATCAGCTCCCATGATGGTGACCCTTGAAGGGTCCTGACTGAAAATTTTATCACAATCATGTGGATCGAAATGTCTGCAAAGCAATACCAACGTTCCTCATCAAATTTTTCTAAATAGGCTTTCCTTCTCTTTTGTGAAACTTTCTACCCGAACTGAGAACTACAAGACTTTTTCTCTGGAAAATCAGTACATTTCTGGATAGAGGAAAGCTCCATACTCAGAAAAGGTGAATGACTCAAGGCCCTGGCTCTTATTAAGTTGACAGCTTCTTTTAGGGCAACTGGCAGAGTTTTCTTATACTAGGCACACTAATGTGAAAAGCAATGAGTCATAACTGCGTGGACTTCAGCAAAACCAAAAGTGCTGCCAAGCATCGCAGGTGAGACACACATAGCATACCAAGAAATTTCTTTCAAAGATTTTCTGGAAAAGTAAACTTTTTACCACTTATAAGACGTCAAAGACTTTTTAATATTTCCTGTAAGGGTTTACAAATAGGAGTTCGTAGGTAGGGTCAGCATCACATGGCCTGGTTTTATCCAGTTGAATGACAATGAGAAATGAGACAGGAGTCAATTCCTCACTAACCTGTCTCAAAACATTAGAAAAAACATTCTGAAGGACACCATTTACAGAGACAAAGCTTTAGCATTTCTCTGTTCTAGTCCACAAACCAGCTTGACCATTTTAGGGTACAAAGATTCACTAAGGTCTTTTGAAATGCATGTGGCTTCTGTACTTTCCAATGCAACAACCAACCTCATATGATGCTTCTGCATTAGGAACAAATCCAAGTTAAATGTGGGTACCCATCCAGCTTCTAATGAAAAAAAATTCACAGTAATCAATGTATTTTTGTGGTAAACAGATATGAGATGACTTTAGCCTTCCTGGGATCATGTTTTCACAGACCAGGACTTTATCTCACATGAAATTCTTACATGGCTCTTAAATCTACTATGGAAAATACCCATAATCATTAAGATTAAAGATCACTTCTTTAATTCCTGCCCATAAGTAAAATATTAGTGATGATTTTATTGTAATAACACTTCTTTCAAATGAAATGAAATAATTTATATACATTTCTGGATAGAGGAAAGCTCCATACTCAGAAAAGGTGAATGACTCAAGGCCCTGGCTCTTATTAAGTTGACAGCTTCTTTTAGGGCAACTGGCAGAGTTTTCTTATACTAGGCACACTAATGTGAAAAGCAATGAGTCATAACTGCGTGGACTTCAGCAAAACCAAAAGTGCTGCCAAGCATCGCAGGTGAGACACACATAGCATACCAAGAAATTTCTTTCAAAGATTTTCTGGAAAAGTAAACTTTTTACCACTTATAAGACGTCAAAGACTTTTTAATATTTCCTGTAAGGGTTTACAAACAGGAGTTCGTAGGTAGGGTCAGCATCACATGGCCTGGTTTTATCCAGTTGAATGACAATGAGAAATGAGACAGGAGTCAATTCCTCACTAACCTGTCTCAAAACATTAGAAAAAACATTCTGAAGGACACCATTAACAGAGACAAAGCTTTAGCATTTCTCTGTTCTAGTCCACAAACCAGCTTGACCATTTTAGGGTACAAAGATTCACTAAGGTCTTTTGAAATGCATGTGGCTTCTGTACTTTCCAATGCAACAACCAACCTCATATGATGCTTCTGCATTAGGAACAAATCCAAGTTAAATGTGGGTACCCATCCAGCTTCTAATGAAAAAAAATTCACAGTAATCAATGTATTTTTGTGGTAAACAGATATGAGATGACTTTAG